CCTCCTCCAGAGAGTCCAGATGATGATGGGAACTAAACCGTCGAGTGAAATAAACCCCAAATAGATCTGCTTCTCTGGAGCTTTACACACACACACACACACACACACACACACACACACACACACACACACACACACAATCCTCATAAATCTCAGACTCATAAAACCGTGTGCTATCAATAAACCACTGTACAATAATCCGCCTTGAGAATGAGAAAGGACATTTACAGCACATGCTTGACTTGATTTGCATAATGAGGGAATCTGCATATATGTAAATTATAAGTAAACATCATTTTGTACATGCAATTCTTGTTTTTGCTCATTACTTTATGTGAATACAATTTTCTTTGGGGGTTTGTTTGAACCAGATTCTTGGTCAAGTGTGCAACCCCACTCCCCTAGACTTCCCAGGGGTTGTAACATTTTGGGGGCTCGTCCGGGATAATTAATGCCCCAACATTTCTTTCTGAGGATTTTGGTTTTACGGATACTCAATTCTTTTTTGTAATTTTGTGGATTATACTAGAGTTGGTAATAGAGGAGTAAATAACGGATTTGTCTATTTGCTACTGACTAGTTTGTGATTCGAAAATGGCATAGTCTCATGTGGAAGCGTTTCTTAGTAATCCTTTACTATACTTGTACAGTTAAACAGACGAGCTGATGCTTAATTATGTGCTCATCTTGTCTATGGAAGCATATGTATATAGCAAAATTCATTTTGAAGTGTAAAACAGCAATGCAATGCATGTTAATGAGTTACATCAATTAAATTGGAGTACTTTCAGTTTAATTTTGCAACTTCAAAAGCATTAGTATGCAATTTGTGGTTAAAATGGCAAGTGTAAAGCATATAATGACATTTCATTGTCATTCTGCACCAAACTTACTTGGAAATGCTCATTTACATACAGAAATACATGGACATTGTGCATATTACATTTGAAAATTAACTTTGCCACTGATATGCTTCCTTTCTAGTCGATGTATTGAGGTAAAGTTTTTGTTTTATATTCGCACATTCCTTCATTTAATTTACTTGTGACAAGATGCCTATATTGTTTTCCATGCTACTTTGAATATTCAGTCTGAATGTGCGTGTAAATATGACTTCAAAACAACGTCAGCACTATTGAATTGACTGAAAATAATGTTTTAATATGATAGTCAATGGCTGCTAATTTGATTTCCCTATTAATAATTAGCACTTTAATGAAATAATATTATTATAAAGAAAAGTTAAATGTGCAAATATAAAATCAGCTTTACTTCAATGTCAAATGTGTTCATGGTGACAGAAAAAAAAACAGAGAGGAACTGATCAAGTTTTTAAGAGATTTAACGAAGAAATGAGTAAAGCTAAAAACATTTCTCAGGTGATTTGGCGCTCTCCTCTGACCAAAGTGAGCAAACACAGCTTTGTGTAAACCACTAGTTAATAGGAAAAAGAGAAAACGTAAAAAATAAATGAATTTAATCCAAAATAAGCACCCAATGTCATTTGCACAATTAAAAGAGCATTAGAACAAGAAAAGGGGGTACAAAAATGTAACCGGGGTTGTGAGGGATCTTCTTCGAGGAAGCTAACATGAAAATAAACATTGGTTATCCAATTAAAGATCACTGGTAGAATTTGCAAGATCTCCATGTGACATTTTAAATATCCTCGATAGTTATTGGCGCGTTGAAGTCATTTTAATCACCTATATAATCTTCAATGTAGTAAATAAATGGAAGAAATATCGCGACATACTGCTAAACATATCGCTCTGTTTATCCAACACTCACCTGTGTAGAGATGAACGTCAACTTATTTGTCCCTTTCACAGTGGCGTAGCGGACGGGCCCGCAGGGCACGCACCGCGGGGGGGCCCCGCGTGATTAGGGGGCCCCGCGTCGTCGTGATTTTCAATAATTAAAAATCCACCGGCGAACGCAATAATCAAACTCTTGGGAACAACTGTGGTCGGAACCAAAGTTCACATGTCTGTGTTCTCTGAACACCTCTCAAGCGGTGGACTACTTCATTCTGATTGCTTGCCGCCAATGTTGCCAACTTAGCGACTTTGTCACTAGATTTAGCGACTTTTCAGACCCCCCTAGCGACAAATCTAGCGACTTTTTTTGTGTGTTATTGGAGATTTTTATTAGACTGTCATTTGTCCATACTGTACCATCCCTACTCTTCTCAACGAGCTGCGTGTGATGCCGCCGGCCCCTCCCCCGCCTCACAGCACTGACAGGCGGCCCAGTCAGTCCTCTACAGCAGCCTCTCCCACCTGCAGCCCGAGAGCAGATCACCCCTCTGCGTACTGACGACAAATGACTTAGCACAAGCAGTGTGAAGGTATTTCCCTTGTACAGTCAAACCGATCTACTTCTACTTTATATTAACAATTTAATTGTACCGTTTATTCTTTTCTTGTTCACAATCACAGATATTAGTGACTTTAGTTTCTGAACTTGTCTGAGTTTATTACATATGAGAAATTACTGCACATTCACTACATATCTATAATGACATACTGTATTCAAACAGCAATAAATTTAGTTAAATAAACATGCTTATATAAAGTGTAGTGCAATTATAAATACCCCTTTATTAACCATAGGCTGTAAAACAAACAGAAACGGTAGAACGTGATGACGCCAGTGATATGCAAATTGACGTATGACGTATCCCTCCCTTCATCAGGGGGCCCCGTTAGCGATCCCTGCAGGGGGGCCTCTGCATTTTGCGCTACGCCACTGCCCTTTCACCTAACTGAAGGGTGGTTTTAGTGAGTAAAGTTGAAATATTTACTGACACTCACTTAGCTACCCTTGATAATTGATGAAATCATCAACACCTGCAGTGTAGTACATGAACATGAGATTGACGCGTTCATACATGCAGACAGCCATAACTCACTTGAGTAAAGAACTACTACAATCTTACATTTTTCGTCTGTCAGTTTCACTGTTTGATTTAAAGATAGTTCAGGAAATATTCATAAACTGAACAAGTCTGATGACATGCAAATTTCGATTAAAAAAAAGGATAAAAATTTACTCTAAACATAAAAGAAAAGTACATACTTTATATTGTATTTTATTGCAATTTTTACTTTTTTCACATATATAAACACAAGGCATATAATATGAAAATAAAAAAGGAAAATTTAAGGAATGGAAACCAGTTTACAACCCTCAAACATGTATTTCAAACATTTCTACATTTAAATTACAGAGAATACATTAAACATAATATAACAGGTTAATATAGCAGTCTTAAAATGAAAGGGAGCAAAACTAATTTACTGCCAATATCAGCAATTATTGGGGAACATTATGCAGAAAAAATGTCAGCCTGCAGAACTGAAGTAAAGCGTATCCAACCTTAAACCAAGAATATAAGCACATATAGAATATCAAAATTACACACATAAGAACATTATATTTTGGAAAGGTTATAGTGTTGAAGTCATTTATCTGGCTACTGCTGATTTCCCTGTGTTAAAATGTAAAAAAAACCCAGTACAAAAAAAACGATTAGCACTTCTAAAAAGAAAAAAAAAAAAGAAGGTTAGATTAAAAACAAACTTCCAAACACCAGGAAGGGATTGCTTGCTGCAAATTTGCTATGATGGTCAGGATAGTTATACATTTTTATTTTTTTTGCTCTGCTTATATTTTCTTGCAAAAAGAAAAATTCCAGCACCGCCTGCTGCTGCTAGCAGAGCTGCTCCTCCTAATACTCCAATTACGGCTGCGGCTCCAATCTTAAGACCGATTGCTCCTCCTGCCGCTGCTGCTGCTCCTGCTGCTCCTCCTGCTGCTCCTCCTGCTGCTGCTCCTATAGCTGCACCAGCTGCAAATTTTTTGCGTAAATCATTTTGCTGAGCTTCTGCATAGTCCTGTTCAGTGTATTTCTGTTTTCTATTTATCTGCGTCAAGCTGTTTATCATGTTTATGAGATCAGTGACTTGAGACCGGTCTGTACTTATGTTATCAAAAACACAATAGCGGCCTCCACATTGATCAACTACTGATTTCAGTTCAGCACATTCACTCAGATAATGTAACACTGCCTTTTGTTTATCATTTTCGTTTTGTATTGTATCTCCATGAGTAAAGAGCACTATCGTGTAATTTAAGACCTTTTCTCCAAAATTATCCTTGATCCACTTTACAGCTTGCATTTTCTCATTTGTGAATTGGTCATCCAGCCTGATCACCAGCAGAAACACATCAATATTTGTGTGCTTTAGCATCTTCTTTATTTCAGTTTGGGCATCAGCAATCTTGACATCTGTATCGGAGAGCCCTACTGTGTCGATCACAGTGATTGACTGTCCAGTTTCTAGTTGACAGTTTTTGGTCACAGATGAAAAACTTTGTTTTACTGTAAATTTGTTTTCACCCAAGATGGTGTTTCCTGATGCGCTCTTTCCTGCTCCAGTCACTCCCAATAGCATAATATTCTTATTCGACACTGAAAATAAGACAGAAAGCATTTAACAATTTATTTACATTCATATTGTTGACACTGGCATTTGACTAAACCACATTACTAATTCATTGCAAATATATTATTATGTTGAACTATGCAGCTACATAATGACAATTTAAAAATGTTCCTTAAAGACTTATCACCACCTTGAGGAACAATGGACACAGCCCCACACCATCATATATAAAAGCATAACATGATTATTGAGACCCACGGGAAATCATTGCTGCCATATGAAGAGATCAAACAAACAAACCCTCAATTAACAATATCAAAGAAGTTTAACAACATTACACACCCTCCCCAAAAAAAACTAAACAAAAATACACTACATCACAATTCTGAGACAAAAGCTCATCTCTCTCGAGATGAATGTGCAGACTCCGTTTACTGTGCTTTTCATCATGTTAATCTAATAATAATTTGGTAACACTTTATTTTGATGGTCCATTTAAGTATTAGTAGACTGTCTGTTTAATATCTGGTGATACGCTTCTTCAACAGACATTTAACTGACTATAAGAAACTCTGTGAGTGCATATCAACTTACACAAACCCTAACCCTAACCCTAACAGTCGACTTATAATCCAATGACAATTAGTTAGCATTTAGATGCAATGTATCTTAAATTGAACAAACAGACCTTCAAAATAAAGTGTGATCTAATAAAGCTACAACTCACAAAGGGAAGGAATATTTACAAAAAAGCTCCAAACGAATAAGACCACATCTTAAGTACCAAGCCATAACATACTGCTCTTGTCTTATCAGTTCCATAGACATAGACACAGATGGTTGCAAAACCGACCATAACAGTGTAAAATGCACAATTCCAATATCTTCTCTTGACTCTACTTCTTGGAGCCCTCTCGAACGTCCCATTGGTGTTAACTTCTTTATTCGTGTCCACTAACACTGGGATCTTCTCTATCAGTATAGAGACTTGTTCTCTGTCCTCCTTCAGGTTATTGAAGACATAATATCTTCCCTCATATTCATCTACTAATTTCTGTATATCTAGGTTTTCCCGTAGATAGTCTTCTAATGGTCTCTCTAACTGATCAGCTCCTGTAACCAACAGAATGGTGAATCTCTTTGCTTCTTCTCCAAGTGTTTTCTGAATCCATATCACTGCATTCTTCTCTTCTTCTGTGAATCTCCCGAGTCTGATGACCAGCAGAAACACATGAGGACCAGGAGCAGACATCTCCAGACTCTTCTCAATCTCTGCCTTCACCTGTCTTTCACTGATGAACATGTGAAAAACTCCAGGAGTGTCGATCACTGTGATGCTTCTTCCTTCCACAAGTCCCTCATGTTTCTCACAGTGTTGAGTTGTAGATTTGCAAAACCGAGCCACTTTAAATGCGTTTCTGCCCAGGATGGTGTTTCCTGTTGCACTTTTCCCTGCTCCAGTTTTACCAAGCAGCACAATCCTGAGTTCAGACACTGTGAAACAAAGATTAAAACAAACGTATCCCTTTTGGTTCCAAAATGTTAGAAATTATATTTCAAGAGTTCACACTTAGCTGATGAATGATTATAAAGCTTGTTCGGCATGCCAGGGAGAGAACCCTTAGCTCATAAAATCCTCGAGCCCGAGGCTCCCTCCCGTTTGCAAGGCGAGAGGGGAGTTTAAGCTCAGGTAGATCTGGAGAACTCTCCTGCTGTAGTAGTTAATGAACAGATAGTGATTGCTCTTAACAGATAACTACTTACTAGGAGCATGTCTATAGTGTTGATTTGGATTAGTCAATTAACTTAAGTTGCATGTTTTTGGACAGTGGGAGGAAATCAGGGGACCCGGGGGAAACTCACGTGAGCACGGGGAGAACGTGTAAACTCTACACAGAAACGACATCTGGCTTGGTATAAACTACAACCAGTGACGTTCTTGCTGTGAGGCAACAGTGGTAACCACCGTGCCACCCATATAGGAAAGGAGGAGGAGTAGGGGTGGAAGGGGGGATTATTCAAAATAAAGACAGCTGTGACATGGAACTGAGGGCATTTATAGTGGCTTATGAATCATCTGATTGGTGAATCATTAATTGAATAATGCGGAACCGGTTGTAAGCAATCATAAGCACGTGATCCTCTTGAAATAAGTTTATAAATAAACTTCACTTAAATACCAACAGGTTACATCTCTACTCTGCACATTAGTTTGTTGTCATTGGCATGAACATGCATTCACAAACATTTGTTTGGTCCATTCATACGTTTTCAAATGCTAATACAGAAAACTAAATGTCATGAGAAGCTATTTTTGATTTCACTGCTTTCCAAAGTTCAAGTTTGTTCAGGTTAGACCAGCAAATTAAAATCACATAAACCCGAGACCAATAAACGACTAATATAGCCCAATCTCTTGAAAAAATGAAGTGAAATTAAGAAATGCAGTGGTGTTATTAGTACACATGGCTTTCATAATTAGCTTACAGTTGAAGGCAAAACTATTAGCCCCTTTTGAGTTTTTTTTTTTTTTTCCCAAAATGATGTTTAACAGATTTAGGATTTTTTTTCTTCAACAGAACTTCTTCACAGTATGTCTGATATTTTTTTTTCTTCTGGAGAAAGTCTGAAGTTTTATTTTAGCTAGAATAAAAGAAGTTTTTATTAAAAAAAAAAACTTTTTAACGACACTATTATTAACCCCTTTAGACTATATATTTTTTGATAATCTACAGAACAAACCATCATTTTACAATAACTTGCCTAATTACCCTAACCTGCCTAGTTAACATAATTAATCTAGTTAAGCCTTTAAATGTCACTTTAAGCTGTATAGAAGTGTCTTGAAAAATATCTAGTCAAATATTAGTAACTGTCATCATGGCAAAGATAAAATAAATCAGTTATTAGAGATGAGTTATTAAAACTATTATGTTTACAAATGTGTTTCTTCTCTCCGCTAAACAGAAGTTGGGGGAAAAATAAACAAAGGGAGCGAATAATTCAGGTGGTTTGTTAATTCTGGCTTCAACTATATATCATAAACCCTTTGTGACACTGTCAACTGTTATTTTAAAAATTAAGAAGTTACAAACAAGGCAAGCATTTTGTCCTGTAGTTTATAAATTTGCATAAATGCAATTTGACTCTGGACATCAATATATGCAAAATTATACATGGTCAACATTCAAGCATGTTAAGAACAAATAAAATGATAAAATGCTCAGTATTGGTTACTTTGATTTGCTCAAATACCTTGCTAAATCACATTTTATCATATGAAACTATCGTAGACCAGCATGCAGAGTGTACAATAATCAAATTTATTCAGATAGCAGTTAAGTGAAGTCACACCAGTTGCTCTAAACTTGCCCAAGAGAGTCCTAAATTGGCACAAATTTACAGAAAACTGTTGTTGTTTGGAAAATAAAAATAGCACACTTGGTTACAATCTTACCAAGAGGAAATGAGATGCCAAGGGACCATAGAAGGACTTATACCCTTTTATTTTAAAGGCATATAAAATATTACAATCTTTTTAGATCACACATTTTTAGATAGAAAAAGTCATACGGAGAACTTACTTGTTGATGTAGATTTTGTCACTTCAGATGACCCTGAGATGCAGTTTACAGGTGTGGAGATTAAGAGTCAGACTAGTTTAAAACAAGTGAAGAGCGACTCCTACTCAGTTCTCTTTAATATTCATGTAGTCAAATTGAAAGGAAGATTGTATCGTTTCCTGTACAGACAATTCTATTTTCAGCTTACATACTGTGGCTAATGCAAATCACAGTGTTTAATGTGATGCAACGGTATATTTTACAGTAGTAAACAGATATTTCAACCATCTGTTTTTTTTTTTGTGTAACATGTACAGTTGAACTCACTTATTAAAGCCCCTGAATTATCCGCCCCCTGTATAATTTTTTCCCCAATTTCTGTTTAGCGGAGAGAAGATTTCTTCAACACATTTTTAATCATAATAGTTGTAATAACTCATCTCTAATAACTGATTTATTTTATCTTTGTCATGATGACAGTAAATATTATTAGACTAGATATTCTTCAAGACACTTCTATACAGCTTAAAGTGACATTTAAAGGCTTCACTAGGTTAATTAGGTTAACTAGGCAGGCAGGTTAGGGCAATTAGACAAGCTATAGTATAACGATGGTTTGAGAATGATGGTTTGAGAATAATGAATGATGAGGCCTTTAACCTGAAGAACCCTTTACAGACACCGATAACATCGTTTTAGCCACATTTCCTTGTATATTGGGGATGCAAAAAGTATCATAGATCTGACACGAGATCTGCTTTGCTATTCAAATCAAAGACGAGACACGCAGACGCAAACACAAGCTAACAAAAAACATCAACAGACAGTAGCCAAACATAATCATGATAAAAAGTAAAACAGTTATGCCACGGGTGCAGTTAATTACAGTAAGTGCATATATAGCCTACTAAAAAGTAATATCAGAATTTTATATATAAAAAAAAGATATACACTGTAATGACACTTGTAGTCTTTCTGTCTTTTTAAAAAAAATTTTTTTACAATTAACACACTCAAAAAAATGTGCTAATACTAATAGCAATAACTCCTAATGCTGCGGTACAAGCTAATTTTCCTCCAACTAACCAAACACAACATAAAAACTACTGCTGCTGCAATTGCACATTTCCCCAAAACAATATTATCCTGAGACTTCTTATAATCCTGGCATGTGAACAGGGCCGGAGTGGGACTCCTTTTTAGCCCTGGAGTTTTAAGCATTAGACCAGCCCACCTCAGTTCACGACTGACTACATTTAAATAAGGTCATTTCCAATTCAGTTTCTAATGACACTGTCACAAAAAACAGCTGCTTTAGAACTTCATATGTTCAACAAACTTACAGTTTTATATGTCTTAGCAATAATATATATACACAAAAAAATAATTACTCAGGTGAGGATCGAACACAGATCAACAGCATCATAGCACAACATGCTGACCACTGAACCACAAAGGCACTGTTATGCATGTATGGCCGGAATGATAGTTACATCATCATTACCCTACACGCTGCATTTTGCTCATGAGGCTGCGAGACAATAAATAAGAAGAGCGGAGCTGCGGCAAAATAATGAATAAAAAGAGTGAGGCTATGGTCAAATAAATGAAAAAAGTGTGAGTGCTGAAACACCAGCCCTCGCAGCCAAAAAACGGCCCGGCCTACCGGGAATTCTCCCGGTCCTTCCGATTAGGCCTGCTTGTGAATCTCTTTTCTCAACATCAGTGAATTGTAGCTCTGATCATGGACATGTGGGTTATAAATGACTGAAAAACAGCTGCTGGTAAAGTATATTAATCGCAAGAGCTCAGATTGTGATCACATCTCGGTTTTCATAGCTTGAAACAGATGGAAATATGATCACTATTAATATGACTACTATGGCGAGGGCTTAAACTGAACAGTGCTCATAATATCGAGCAAAAAGAAAAGAAAAAGACAGGCGTGAAAAATGAACTGCTTAGTATTAATGTAGGAAACACAGTTTAGATCTGTTTAGGGTAAGAGGTGTGTGAGTTATTGCCATCGGTCTATCACTGAATGTGTCAGGAATATCAAAACAAAACCAACTCCGCTCCTCACAGAGCTTGAGCCACGCTGGCATTTCTCCTCTTGGATTTTTGGTTGTGAAAAGGGAAAACATTCCACTATCCCGTCCAAACTTTAAAGATACCGGGTGTCAGATTTGCAAAATCCATATGCACATGCTTTGGCTTGTTTGTGTAACAAAAACTGGTTCATAAACAAAAAATAATCACATCATACTTTAACACAAAAGACTTTGTCTTCTCGTTTCATAAGCACAGGTTGAAAATTGATGCAGGCCTGTAGTCAAACATAAATAGCAAAGTTAAAAATGTATCTAGTCAACAATTCAGACTCTTACAAAACCACTGCTGGAGAAAGAAAAGATCAGATTTTCTTCCTTCTGATAATTTATAATTTACTGTGATTATTTGGTAAACCAAACAACTGAATTATTTATTTACCCCTTTAATAATCCAGGGTCGCCACAGCGGAATGAACCGCTAACTTATCCAGCATGTTTTTATGCAGGGGATGCCCTTCCAGCCGCAACCCATCTCTGGGAAACATCCACACACACACTCATACACTACGGACAATAGCCTACCCAATTCACCTGTACCGCATGTCTTTGGACTGTGGGGGAAACCGGAGCACCCGGAGGAAACCCACGTGAACGCAGGGAGAACATGCAAACTCCATACAGAAACACCAACTAAGCCGAGGCTCGAAACCAGCAATCCAGGGACCTTCTTGCTGTGAGGCGACAGCACTACCTACAGCGCCACTGCTTCGCCCCAAGTGAATTATTTTATATAATAAACGTGAAGTTCTTTAAATTAATTGGACACATATATCTATGCACTCACCTGTATATGGACGATCCATTTTCTCTTCAACTCTTGTTTTTAAGTTGGTTTGATAAATCATTGGAGCTCAAAGCCTGTTTGAATGATAGTGGTTAATAACTACAATGATCATTTATATTATAGCCTTTTAGGGGCGTTTAATTTAGTTCACCAGCATCAACTAAAAGCACGAGTATTTTTAACGTCCCTTTATGTTATAAAACTGAATTAAGCTGCTTTCATAATTCTGCAAAATTCAATCTACTTCCACGAATAGCTTAATATTAGGCTAATATTTGCCCTTTGCCACAACAATGTAAACATTTAAGTATATCTGACAGTTTGGTTTAGCAAATAGTATAATATAAGTCAGTTTCATACAATTAAATACAATAATCTTGTGTTAGTACTTTTATTTTATACATTTTCATTCGACAAAAAAACAGACATTTCAGTTTAAACCATTCTCATTTCTGTATGCATATTTCGACTTTGAGACAAATTCCATTCATTTCTGGTGACACACAGGCCCATTTTAAACCATAAACTACTAATACATTTGTTGACAATGTTCGTACCCAACTCGTTTCAAAATCCTCACTGAATTCTCTCAAGCAGCTCCGCGCAAGCGCAAACATTATTGCCTGCAGAACAGCGCCCTCTGCTGGCCAGCGTTAGATAAGGCTTCTGCAGTGTTCAGGTCATTCTTAGTGTAACTGCACGTTTGTATACACATACCAATATGGTAATTTACTAACTCAATCTAAAAGTATTAGGTTCAAATGTTATCATATAATCAGCTCAAGTAAAACACTAAGATAAATCCAGATAATCAGGACCAAACAAGAACCTCAATTATTACAAGTAATTTGTGCGACTTATTCACTAAATGCCCCGATTACCTTTAAATGAACAAACAAACATAAATATGCAAGTACATTAGTTGGAATTACAGTTGAACTAACATTACTGTCATCACAGATCTGTTTCAATGTTTTTTTGGAAATATCAAGTGTAATAAACTGAAATAACAGAACAGAAATATGACGAAAAATGAAATCATAGCACCAAAAACTGGTCGTCCACATCTCTAACACTGCTGCATCTCAATTGGTTGCTGGTTTTTTATTTTATATTCAATTTATGATCAAAACTTTGGTTTTAAAAAGGTGTTTTCTGCAAACGCTGACTCTTAAATAAACAGATCTATGCAGTGTTGAATACAGATATTTGAACACACAGAATTTGTACCTTTAAAACAGCTTCAAACAAAACAAACATGTTGAATAATAATAAAAAAACTAAATTAACCGTTTCATCCTAAAGGAATCATTCACCAAAATAAATTCCCATCCAAGTCTAACAATTACCATCATGACATTTTGCATAAACACTAAACCATAGAAAACAAAAGTAGCTCAGCATGTTTAAAGTCACTCCGGTGAATAAACCACGAGACAAAGCTCATATTTGATAAAATATTCCTTCATCATATTGCAACAGAAGGATTTAAAACAGCATTTAACAATTTAAACCAGGGATCACCAAACTTGTTCCTGGAGGGCCGGTGTCCTGGAGATTTTAGCTCCAACCCTAATCAAACACACCTGAACAAGCTAATCAAGGTCTTACCAGGTATACTTGAAACACCCAGGCAGGTGTTGAGGCAAGTTGGAGCTAAACCCTGCAGGGACAGCGGACCTCCAGGAACGAGATTGGTGACCCCTGCTCTAAACAATCAGAGTCATACATTTATTATCTAAAATAACCTCACGCTCACCCTGCAGATGAAAGCGAGTGTGTGTGTGTGTGTGTGTGTGTTTCATCATGTTGATGTGCAGCTCTATAACAGTATAAAAAGAGAGAAATCGTCCAGAAATAACCCAGAAATCAGAGCAGGACTCGGCTCACACGATCACACGAATGCCGAAATACTTCTTGAGCTGCTCCAGAAAGACGAACGTCAGGATTGTATGAGGAATCAAACGGATCCCGGCTGGAACTAAACCCTAGAAGTATGAATAAATGGTGATACACAGTAAAGGCCTGTTCACACAAACATGAGAACTATAAAGATAACGATAAAGGTATTGTAGTAAAACATCAACCACAGCAGAGATCAGACTACAGCGATAATCATAAAGCTGTTGAGAAAACATCACTTTTTACTGATAATAATTGATAAAACACTGAAAAGCAGTCAGAATCTATTGAAATATAAAGGGCTCACGCTATTTAAAGCTGAGGATGACATTGTGGAGAAGCTCTGCTTGATGTTTTTAAAGATTATTTAAAGATATTGTTGTAATCAATTGGTTGTAATATTGAAAATACATGGAAGCTATGCTAGTCAGGCTGACAAATTGAAGTGTAAAAATAAAAGCACCTCAGGTATACAGTATAATTTGTTTTCTCCTTTAAAAATGCTGGGGGAACTAATTTGAGTTGTTTATATGTTACTAAACTGACTGATTGCTAAATTTAGTGTGATTATAGGTTACACGAGCTGGACTCACTGGTCAGATGTGTTGGAAATGCAACACACTGCTGGTTACAAGAGGGTATTACAACAAATACGTCATAAACTAAAAATAAATGTACCATTATCAGTCGTGAGTGTTGATGCAGATACAGTTATTAATATATTTATAGTTATTTTGCCTAGTGTGAAAGGGGTTTAAAGGGGTAAAACAGATTTGTTACCTTGTAGAAGGCCAGTGGTCCCAGTTTGGCAGTTTCACTGAGGCAGTGCATCACTCCCTAAAACACATTTGATTAATTATTGATAATATTATAAAGAGAAAATGATGAAGGAGAGAGAGAGAGAGAGAGAGAGAGAGAGAGGAACTGACTCTGTATTCTCCTTTAGAGTTCATTAATCTGGTCTTTAACACGTCCAGCGGCTGACAGAGGAACGTTGCACATCCACCCTGAAGAGAAAACACGACAAACACATAAAACAAAAAAATAAATTGCATATATATATATATATATATATATATATATATATATATATATATATATA